GCATGTGGATCAAAATTTTTTCACCACTAAATCGGCCATTGAATACTGTCTATGTGACATTATCTGAATTTCCAAAAATCTCACTTTCGTTTTTTCGCCTAATTTCCATGTGGTTGCCCACTGTGTAACGTAGAATTCTATAGAATTCTATACATTTCCGCTTGACTCAAAGTTGGTCAGTATATTATATATCTATGGTAACGTAGAATTCTATACATTTCCGCTTGACTCAAACTTGGTCAATAATAAATATATCTGTACTATCTTAGAATTCTATAGAATACTATATATTTCCTAGATTTCTGTTTTGAGAATAACTCGGACTTATCATGTTTCAGCTGCGAATGAGTTGTTGTAGAATTCATAGGGAAAATGTAGAATTCTGTAGAATGTCTGAAATGTAGGAATTCTGCCATTGCTGAAAAAAATGTAAAAGAAGACATATGTTCATCATTCATCAATATTTTAATGACCTTCTTTCTCACACTTTCTGTACGTGTATATATTCTACTTGCAGGCTGACTAGTTGGAAATTTAAAATAGCAATATTCTGCCGCCAAAAACAGAAGTTTTGACATTTTTTCGCAACATGGGTGGTGACACAATGTGATGAAACGTGGACGTTGTTTGTGAGTGTTATCTGTTCGCGTAAGATCAGCGCTTACTTTAGATGATTAATTGAAGCAAGTCACTTTTCCGCGAACTAAGTTACATAATCAGGAAAAAGAGAAAGTAGCTGAGTTGTACTTTGACATGTGTTATTTCTAAATGGTATATTCACTCAAACAGAATGTGATTGCGCAAGATTTACAATAACACGTCACATGAATATGACGTGTTAGGCATTGAGTATGCATATAAATATTTGGTTCGATTCTGTCATATGGCACATTCACATTCTCTTCCTTTTCTTCCGTTCGGTCGATTGACAAGAATAACATGACCAAAGACTCAGTGTTGTCCTCGATCACCAATACGAAACCAATCATTGCACTCGATTGTGATGGTGTTCTTTTGGATGATCATGCAACTTTTGCTCAAGTCTACGAAAAAGCATTTGGAAAACAACTGACTGTTGTCTCGCCTAAATCCTTTCGTGTAAGTTCAAACTAAGCTCTCTACTCGACAACTCCCAGTTTTTCATTAACAGGCTGCCGATATGTACGGTGTAAAATTTACATCGGAGGAAGAGAATCATTTCTATGCTGTGTGGAACGCCGAAGCATGGCGGACAATGCCCATGCTCGATGGATCTCTTGAAGCTTGTCACCTATTACAGCAAGCAGGCTATGAGCTCGTCTGTGTCACGGCAATGTCTCCTCAGTTTACTGATCACCGTTTGGAAAATCTTCGCTCACATGGATTTCCGATCGATCGAGTGATCAGTACGGGGTATGATGGCGAAAATCCGGACAACAATCCGAAGAAACAAGCGATTGAAGAATTACATCCGGTGGTATTTGTCGATGATTCGAGACGGAATTTTAGAGATATTCAGGGTGTACATACCCGATTCGTCTTGGTTGATAAATATCATGATGATCCGAATCAATATGAAAGAATTTATTACGATGTCAAATATTCAAGTCTTTTGGGTTTCGTCCATGATTTTCTCGAAACTGAACATGGGCAAAAAATTGTCTGGACAGAAAGAACTGCTTCTCTTCTTCCATCTATTTGATACTAAACTGCTATGTTTTACTATTTCATAAAGACGAGTGTGCTTGATTTCAATTGAATATAAATACCGTTGTTCCGTTTGTTAAAAGATGTTGGCATATTTAATTGATGATCGAAGATGAAATAGACGAGCTCATATTGTTTTGTATCGAAAGGGTAATGAAGATTTTGTTGTTGAGCACTAACTGACGAAAGTGAACACGACTTGCATTGCGTCTAATCAGCATATTTCTTGCTATAATGCCTTTCGGCATTGTACAGTTTCGCAGAGATATTTCGCTAAATGAACACCATATTTATCAACAAATTATTCCCAAGGTATCACCCGAGCAAAACTGAATAAGCGAGAAAATCTAGCTGCAGAAATAGCTGCAGCGCCCACTTACAGCTAGATTAACCAGATTAAAAGGTACATTTATATAGCTACATGCTGACTGGAATCGTGTACTAGCTGAAACAGCCGCTGCATTGGCCAATTAATAGCGCAATGAATTGCCCGATTAATCGATAGCAACTAGTTGTACCCAGTTGAAGCGAGATTTAATCTGGCTGAAGCTATATCAAATTTTCATGTATTTCACTGCATCTAGCTAAAGCTAGATAAATGTACCTTTTAATCTAGATGCAGCGCCCGCTTCATAATTTTTTTTCGTGCTTGGGCAGCACTATCCTGAGGGTGAGTTTAATTGAAATAATAAAAGAACGATAGAATGAATTGTCATTTCACTTGTCCACGACGCGGTGCACATCGAAGGTCAGAGCGAATGTCCACAGTCGAACTGTCGAGTTATCAGTCGAGCGGCAAGCTTTTGGACAGACTCGAAGGGTTCAGTGTGCGTGATAAACTTAGTATCAAAAACTGCGCTGCCATAATCAAGTTTGGCCAAAACGCAAGTTTTGTAAAGATGAAGACAAAGAAAAGCCGGAGCTTCAGCAAATGTTCTATTTATGGCACCTAACATGCGACGGCAAGGTAAAACAGTTATTTTAAAATGAGGATTCCAGCTTAGATCGTGCGAAAAATACAAACCCAAAAGTTTGGGTGTATTTTCATATTTGAGAGATTCTCCATTGATGTTAAAACTGAGAGAAGTAGGAGGGTTAGCAGACGAAGAGAAATATGTCCAATGACACTTGTCAGAACTCAAAGACATAAAATTGCAGTCACACCAGTTGGTAACACGATCTATTTCAGTTTGAACAAATTGCTTGACCGTATTCAAACTATCCTGTTTTTCGAATGTACAGATCAAATACAGATCATCAGCAAACAAACTATACAGTACTGATGATGAAGTAGGAAGAGAGAGATCATTAATAAAAATGAGGAAGAGCAGCGGACCCAAAATAGACCCTTGAGGCACACCAGAAAGAATATATGCTACGTTAGACAGAGTCGTTCCTATTTTTACATATTGTAAACGATCCTTTAGATAAGATTTAAACCAGTTTAGAAGCTTATCGTCTACACCAACGGATTGCAGTTTTTGTAGTAAAACGAGGTGCGGTACGCGATCGAAAGCCTTAGCTAGGCCAACACTCACATCAATGCTGATTTTGTTAGTAAAGGCACTGCCAAATAATCTGCTCGTGACATATAGTAAAGCCTCGGTGGTCGAAGCATTCGGTCTGAAACCAAACTGATTTGCAGACAAAAGTTGGTTAGTCAAAAGATGATCAACAAGTTCTTTGTGGATGACTCTCTCAAAAACTTTCCTCACAGTATTCAGAAGAGAAATTGGCGTATGGTTATCTACAGAACCAACAGGTTCTTTTTTATGGATGGCAGTAAGAAGTTTTCCGTTTATCAGAAAAGGTTTCTCTATCAACTGAGAGTTGAAAAAGATAAGCAAACTGTTTAAAGATGGATGACGTACAAAGTTTGAAGAAACGAATAGGAATGTCATCAGTGCCTACACTAGAAGTATCGCGTAACTTACTAATAGCCTCTGAGACTAATTCTTCAGTTATTACGATAGAATTGAGAGTTTGACCAGAATAAATGATACGTGGAGACGGCAATGGTCCGTTGTAATTAGTGTAACATGAGGCAAAAAAGTTATCAAATTTTTGACATGTCCTAGAAGGAGAAGAAGAAATCCCATCACTGCCAGAAATTAATTGACAAGTACTTTGTTTAGATGTTCTGTATCTATTTAAAGACGACCAGAACTTGGTAGGGTCTGAAAATGAGCGATAAATAGAAGATAAATAGAAGAGAAAGTTGTTTTCTTATCATTTCGTAAAGACGAAAGAACATTATTTCGCGAAAGTTTAAATTTTAAAAGACTTTCTTCATCAGTAGGGTTTTTTCGATGTTGTTTATACGCAAGATTTCGTTTTCTCATTAACTTTTTAGTTTCTTTTGATATAGCAACTTTAAAGGATGAAGACAGAGGAACTTGTTTACATTTCGCAAACTTGGATAAACACAAATTAGCGTGTGATTCCCAAAGAGTAACTGCCACATTAGGATCACCAGAAGAGTAGAAATCACTAGAAAGGTCACTAGAGCACGGTTTAGTTTCTCAATATCGCACTCACTGAAATCCCAAGTGACTTTAAAAGAACTAGAAGCTTGTTTGACATAGAAGGAATCAAAAGTTAGAATTGAAGAAAAGTGGAGTGACTCACCGATAGATGGATAGTCGGATAAAGAAGGTTGGTTGTAAATGGAAGGGTACAGAATGTAATCTAAACACGAACCGAGAGATGTGGTTGCGGTTGGTTGTGTTTTCGAAAGAGAAAAAGTGTCAGAAAAAGCACATAAAGCATCAAATACACTTTTATTCGTCGGATCTGCTTTATAATCTCCAATTAGAATGAGATTATCGTAATTTTGAGGAAGATTAGAAAAGAGAAACAGTTCTAGGTTGCCAAAAAGCTATTAGGATTAGGATTTTGAGCTTCAGAGCGATACGAGTTACCTAAGCATAAACGGATAGAAAATAGTTGAGTTTCGAGTTGACAGTCGTTTGCTAATAAAGAATGAGGGAGAGAGTTTCGGATGAACACAACTACGCCCCCAGCAAAAGTTGGTCGATCTAATCGATAAAATGAAAAATCAGAAATTTGAAGTTCGTTATCAAGTACAATGTCAGACAACCAAGTTTCTTGTATACACAGGATGGAAAGATGCTGATGTTCAGATATGAATAAACGTAAAGAATCGATATGCTTACGGAGACCCTGAATATTATGATTAAAAATAGAAAAACCTTTAACACCATTGCTCTTTGACACAGGAGAGGAGAAGGGAAACGAAGAGAGCGTATAGTCAGTTTCATCATTGACGAAATCGCTTGAACTGTTTGACAACGAATTGTCCAATGAGGTGATCTTGATACTAAAGTCACTTACTGGAAATTCTTCAGATACTCATCAATATCTGAAGATAATTGCATTGTGCGTTTGACATTTAAGTGAATGCCATCTTTTAGTAACATATTGTATGAATATCCAACTTTAATGACATCAATGAATTTATCTTGCAATGATAATAAACGTGAATTAAATTCATCAACATCAGCATTAACTTGCTGTATAGAGGGTTTAATTCCTCGAACATTTAAATACGGAATCGTCGTAAATACTAATTTCAAGTCCGGATACGATAATTTCAACGAATCAGTTAACGCGATAATTTTATTAAATGCATCATCAGGTTTATCAAATTTCATTCGATGGGGTTTATTGTTAAGAGTTGTATTACCCTGTTTGAGATCTCGAATAATACTACTACCCAAAACTGTAACATTTGTCGAATTTTTCATTGAATTTGAATTTCCCTTACCCGTTGTTGTTTTTATTGGAGTAGATACTCTATTATCAGTGCAATTCGACGGAGGTAGTGAAGTCGAGGAAATATTCTGGCTGCTATTTGGATAAAAGGTACCTGTTTTCAACAGATGAGATCATCATTTTGAGACTTACAAAATGTTCGACATCGATCACTATAGGACTCCTCTTCTTTCTGTTCATAATTATTACATACAGCTTTGATCAACATTTCATTTTGATTTAATAGACGCATTACAATTTCATTGCTATTAGCACGATGGTTCAAACTGTTAACAGCGTCATCTGTCGAATTATGAGAATTAGTTGAACTATTATTATTGTTTTTATCGATTTCACGCGATAAATGACGAATAATAGGCACTAAATCAGCAGTTGATAGATCATCTAAAGTCAGATCTTGTTTGTTAACCGCATTTAAGCAACCGTTAATAATAGCTAATGAACTTTGCATGCTTGCGCAGTGGATAAAAGAAAGACTTGATTGGTTAATAATGACCCAATACACTGTAATCTTGAATTAATTTCCAGTTTATAGCAAATCAATTGGAAAATCGCTTAAGAATTTTTATTTTACAGAAATTCCTCACCGATCCTCCCACTTTATAGAAATCGTTGTATTTCTACTTCCTAGAAAATCGTCAAGGTTCAGCTAGATCAAAATTCAAGTGAATTTTATTTTTTCGATTTTAATACATATTCTGGTTTGTCTTTGGACGCTGATTCCGAATAACACATTCCGAACTTCAAAAATCCTTTTCTTCGTGGAG